GATCGGTGTTTTTTCTGATAAATTGTTTTTGATAACATCAAACGTCTTCTATAGCGTTAAGTTCGCAATGAAACTTGGGTAAAAAGTGTATCTTAACGTTATATTTATTAGCAAGTTGTTCAAGACGAGATGTCTAAATAGCAGCGTAAAAAGAAGACAAGTAACGTACTTAATTAAACTTACAACTTGAAATGCAGGATGGTTCGCTAAAATTTCTCTTAATTGATCAAGTTTTACTTTTGGTGGTAATTTAACATTAAGCTCTCTGCTAATTTCGAGCAAACCTTTAGATAAACCACTATTAGGACCACTTTTGAAAAAGCAATCTATAACTTGTAGTTGACCTTGTGAATCAATGTATTCAATAGTATCAGTTGTGCACCTAGTACCGATAGATTTACCGAAATCTGATAATGAATAGGGTTTTGCTGTATGAGTTGTAGCATTATCAACTATAACTTCAATATTATGGTTTTTAAATTCACTCTTAAATTGTAATAGTTTAAATAGGCGTTCGAATTGTGCAAGAATCGTTGAGTTATCAAAATATGAGTCGTAGCCGACATTAATAGATCCGGTGGCAGTCTTTTTAACATAAGCAACATCTTCAACATCGTCATCTAGCTCAGGATATAATGCTAGCGCTTGTTGGTACTCTTTATCTTTTAAGGTAAAGAAAGGACCTGATGGATGCATTACTAAATAATCGCTAATCATAACCGATCTTCCCCTTCTTTCGAAAAAAACGGTGCATTGTTGTTAAAAAGCCATCTTTTTGGAGAAACTTCGCCTGACCGAAAGGTAGTTTCGTCATGAACTAAACATAGGTAAGAATGTGTATCATAAAAATGAATCCTACGTTTTCCTTAGTAGTCCTACTCACAGATCAAAACACATGGAGGATTGTTAGAAGGCAATATCCACAAAGGATTTTCATCATTAGATATTGTGTAAAAATGATCTTTTTTCTCCAGAAAATATTTGATTAAAGTTTCACGATGAGTAACTATTTCTGGCCGCTCGTGCCCTTCAAAGTAGGGTCTCTTTGAATTTGAATCAAAGCGAAACCCCCAGCGTCGTAGATCTAAACAACACAATTGTATAGATCGAACAAAATTAGCATTCTTATCTTTAGTTGTATTTGTTATTTCATAATATTTTTGATCAACAAAATTAGCTAAATCCCATGCTGTAAAATCAGCTGATTTATTACGACAACGTTCAATTGCAAATAATTTTGCTTCTAATTCGAGTTCGGGAAATTCTTCATAAACGTCCTCGATACGCTTTCTCCTCGATTATCTGTGCAAAACTGATCGAAATCACCAGATATAAAAATATCAGTCCATTTCTGGCATGTTTGACTTGATAATGCACCAATTTCTGTCATGAATAAATCACAATCCCGCCATGTTATTTTAAAATGTCTTACACTCATATACAACAAAACACTTATAAATTTATAAGTGCAATTATTTTTACAAATTTCAAAAATGTCTGATATATCATTTAACGTAACTTGATCATTGAAGTTTTTTGACATATCAAAAGAGTCTTCATTCATTTTCATTTCTTCCTCATCTGATTCTGTGGAACTTTCATTACTGTGATCAACAGCTTTTTCGAGTAAACGTAAACATCGCAATGAAATCTGCACCTTGCGAGAACGAGGACGACGTCTTGGCAATTTCGGCATGTAATACAGAAAATTGTTACAATACAAAACAAGAAATTGATCTGAAACATACTGCTACAAGCTACTTTACTCTTATTATCAACTTGAAAGATAAAGAAGGACAATTTAATTTATATGAAATTAAACGTCAATAAACTGATCTGTAACCATTTTACAAGTGAAAAATGGGTAATAAGTTTATTAGAATCTATACCGTTGATATCAGTCATCATTATGTATCGTATTGGAGAAAATATTTCGCAGTTCTTCCAATGAAAAAGATTCGCAAGAAAAAGAGTTCCCTTTAGTGTTAACCATAGGCATAATTACGTAATAGAAAAAACTGAACCATTTACAACTCTCCCTTCTCTCACAAAAATTTCCACTCCCTAAAGGAAAAGGATATAATAAATATTATGCCATTCCTCGAAAAGAACTTCTACATGACTATTAATTTTCAAATCCACCTTTGGAACTATTTATATAGCATATTCAGATATTCATATAATTTCCTTCTGAAGCGTTTAATCATTTTTTCAAACAGAAACATCGCGATATGTACATAACGAACAGATTATCCAAAAACTCTTATATATTGCACAAACTGTTTGAATTGGTATTAGCAATAAGTCAATATCTGCTTAATATGTTGATGAGATCCGCCACATAATTTTACATATGACAATGTATTTTAAAGGGGTTTCAAGCAAAAATGAAAAATCTATAGAAAATTTGTTTTCTTGATTGCAGTGCAAATCAAAGAAATGACTATACTGTCTAGACAAAAGTGAAATATTTAAAAAATAAAAGTTATACTTTTGAAGCGCAATTTCTGCTGGTTCTAATGGGATATAAAATAGGGCTATATCTTTTAATAGAAAAAACTAGATAGACTTTCAAAAATGTTGACAAGATGTGATTTTTTGGATCTTTTGGTCGATATTCTTTAAGAAATTCCATAGATAAATTTTCGCAAAGTGATATCGAAAATATGTTCAGTAGACGCAGCTTTTCACGAGGAATCTGAATACGTCATTTTTAAAATTTCAACAGAACGAAATTTCTATTAGAATTTCAAAAAACATTGAAGATATCCATATTTTTAAGAAAAATGCGATTTTTCAACTGAATTGAAAAAATTGCGAATTTTTTCACATAATCATTTCGAAAAAAATTCAAAGACATATATTCTTACTCAGCTCGACGAGCTCTATCTAATGGTGTATAAAAGAAAGAAAAAAAAATTGCTTTAATTTTGCATTGTTCGCACCTTAATTAAATCTTTAAATAATATTTCAATTATGAATTATCATTGTGAAGAATATTATGCCCTGTTCTGAACATATATACAGAAGTTTTTTCTTTTCGTTCTGTCGTTCATATATATATATATATATATGTATGTATGTGTATACGTGTATGACAGAACGAAAGAAAAAACTGAAGAAGGAACAAAAAAGTTCTTCTTGCAGGGAATTTTGTTTTAAAAAATGTTGCTTGGGACTACACTATACCTACGGTCATATTCTAGGGTAATACTCAGTTTTTTGCACTCTTTCTAACGATACCAATCTTATGCATTAGACTTTTAGAAAAATTTTTTCCATGGTTTGATATGATACATTCTATGTCTCTTTGTTTTTAATTACATAAATTATTTAATTTTTGTGTATGAATCTGCTTTCAAAAAAATGAATATTTCCTATTCTAAAGTACCATCTTACATTGATAAACTCTCTGATAATGAGCGTATCGAGTAGATAATCAACAATCCGTATATATTCCTATTTATTACTCAATCAATCGAAAAACAAATCAACTGCTATTCCAAATATTACGAATCGTTCAATTCAAATTT